TAACGTGCACACTGATACCCTTATCCAATCCCTAGACCAGTTTTATGTTGACCGGGTGCTCCGTAACTGGATCAACTACATGCTAAGGAACAGATGGATAAGCTGCGAGATGTACGATATAACTATCAGGAAAAAGGTATTTCGCGGTATACCACAGGGTGGCATTTTGTCACCTTTACTCTGGGTCACCACGATTAATAGCCTCCTAAGGACCCTAACCGAGAAAGGACTTAGACCTGTCTGCTATGCAGACGATGTCGTAATACTTTTAAAGGGAAAGGATCCAAATTACTTGTGTGGAAGAGCTGAGGAGGCTCTGAATACGGCCTTGAGCTGGGCTCAACCGAGAGGCCTCAATGTTATCCCGGCGAAGACGGAAATCTGTCTTTTCACAAGAAAGACAAAAATTTCTACATATACTGAACCTTGCTTCTTGGGCAAGAAGATACCGGTGACAGACAAAGTTAAGTACTTAGGTGTAATACTTGACCGGAAATTAAAATGGAGACACCACATAGAGGATAGGATCAACAAGGCACATCGGTGCTGGGCGATATGTAGGAGAACCATAGGCATGAAATGGGGTCTTAGTCCTACTATGACAAATTGGCTTTATAAAAGTGTAATTAGACCAATTCTAGCTTATGCTTCAATAATCTGGTGGACTGCTTTGGACAAAAAGTGTAATATCAAACTACTACAGGGAGTTCAGCGTACATGCTGCTTGGGTATAAGTGGTGCCATGTGTACTACTTCAACCAAGGCTCTGGAAACGTTGCTAGATATTCCACCCATTGAAACATATATAAGATATGAGGCGGCGCTTACAGCCGAACGGCTCTTTACTTTAGGCGAACTGGCCAAAAACGGTTATAGGACACGTCATCAATGTATACTGGACACATTGGAAGGTTATACACATTCATCGGACGTGCCTGATCGCATACCAGACACTGAATATGTCGGAAACTTTGAAACGCTAATCCCAGATAGAATGTCTTGGTCAAGCGGAACATTAGAGCAAATACCAGTAGGAATCCGTTGCTACACGGATGGCTCTAAATTAGGGGACAAAGTGGGTCTGGGGTTCTATATTGAAGACCCAGAAACAGAAATATACCACCGTTTACCTAATCATAACACAAGCTTCCAGGCAGAAGTACGAGCAATAACGGAATGTGTAAATTGGATTAAAATAAATATGGCGCCCACAGGGCTTAATATATTTACCGACAGCCAGAAGGCAATTTGTGCGATATCAGGTGATAGAATTAAATCTAAGACCGTATTGGATTGTAAGAAAGCTTTAACTGAATACTCTCCCAGAGGTAAGGTTCACATCATATGGGTACCAGGCCACTCGGGAGTAGTCGGCAACGAAAGGGCGAATGTAATAGCTTTAAAGGGAAGGGAGCTCGATGTAGTTAACCTGACAAACGCAAAACCATTCGACGCAACAAAAGCTGAATTAAAAATATGGATGAGAGAATCCCATAAGGCCTCTTGGAATAATGAAACGGTGGGTAGAACCACAAAGATTCTATGGGGTGACCCTGATGAGAGCAAGACGAGAAATCTTCTCAAAATGAGCAAGTCTGAGGTTAGTATGATGGTACGTATTCTCAGTGGACACACAGGATTACGAGCACATCTATACAAAATTGGACGTGCGAATTCAGACGAATGTAGAGCATGTGGAGAGGACAGTGAAACTCTGGAGCACTTTCTTTGCCATTGTCAGGCATTCGTCGAAGTTAGATCCAAGTATCTTGGAAGTGATGTTATTCCAGAAATAACATTGTTAACCAACACCGATTGGAAGATTCTTAGGAATTACGTCCAGGAAACTGAGTTTCTGAACATGGAAAAATAATACATTCAGTGAACATTTTTTTTTTTTTTTTTTTTTTTTCTTGAATTGGAGCGCACAACAGGCCCGATAGTGGCCTAGGTGTATTTCTTCGGATTTGATGTAGTATACATCCTCCTATCAACCTACCTACCTACCTACCTAGCACTAATAGAAGAATCTGTATCATTTTCAGTAAACACATTCTCCAAGTGATTGGCGAATGCGAATTGGGTGATTCATATGCAATAGGGCATTGCATATGTTTAACAGTTTTCCAGAGACTATATTCTGTTTTCTTAGTAGGGTCTAAGTTTTTGAGATAATTTCTCAGATTAGATTCCTTATTATTTTTTAAGGCAATGTGAAGTCTTCTTTGACACCGATTAAGTTTGACCTTCAAATTTATTAAATTTAATACACAATACATTAAGCTTTCATTTTATGTTAATTTTAACGCGGAGGCAAGGGGAGCTTCATAAATAGAACATTAAATACAAAATATGCAAATATTAAGAGCAGTTTATATTCTTATTTAAAGATTATGACTTAATAAATATCTAAACAAAATACTCTATCTAATATTAATAAAAATATTTGCCGCCAAATGCTATATCATCGAAAATAATGACCTTAAAAGTGGCTATTTTAAAGCACAAAAATATTGCGCCATAATCATAGTCATCAAAAAAGTATACTTTAAGTATCATTTATTAAAATGTATACTTTTAGCTACTATAGACGAGAAAAAGCTTACTTTTTCGGCTAAAGTCAGTTTTATATTTAAAACAAGCTGAAGTTGTTTTTAACAAAGTCAACATCACTTTAACTCTATCGTCATTTATCAAAAGTTACAAAATCAAACAAACCAAAAACAAAGTGTATGAATTATGTTATCCTAATATATATTATAAATCTCTTTGTAAGTCTGTTCGTTTGTTTGTTCGTCAATCACGCCTAATCGGCTGAACCGATTTTCTTCAAATTTGGAACATAGTTAGATCTATACTTGAAGAGTGTTATATATATTTTTTCAGAACTTGGACTAGGAGGGGGTAAAATGGGTGAAATACGGGCAAAATGAGTACTTTTGATAGTAAATACTGATTTTGTCTATCCTTCAAAATCATTTTCGATTAAACTACTTAATTTCAGACAATTCAAACTACTTCAATGAATAAATAAAACAAATAAATAAACAAGTAAAAATTTATAGTTGATCATGGCTGACGATATGATGCCCTACACCAGTGATTATGTTACAAATGTTGATTATTTTTTTTAATAATAAAGCATTTAAATTAATTTTTACTTTAATTCAGAAATATTTTTCCAATTTATTGACAAAAAAGGATTTTCTGAAAGAGGGTTATATGGGGGTAGGTGGTTAATATGGGCCTATCCTTATAAATTTTGGTAAAGGGATTAAAACATTAAACTTATTCAAACTAAACTGGCAAAAACGGCTAATTATGTGTTCCTTTGCTACATTTTTTGTACTTTTATGAAATTTGAGAAATATATATGTTTTTATTAATATTTTTCCGTAATCGGTCAAGAAATGTGTTTTTCAAAAATGTTTTTGCAAAACATTATTGAAGAGGGAAAGGTTCCTCTCTGACATGATTTTCTTAATAAATGTTCTACAACATCGATTTCTGAAATGATTCAAAATATATTAAACAAAAAACATAAATTTGAATAATTCAATGGAGAAAGAGGGTATGGGTAGTAGTTTTGGTACTGTGAAATTTCAATGAAATTTCTTTTATAGCTATATACGATCACAAAGAAATTGTAAGGACTTTCTTCATAAGGAGACCTTCACCATGTTTTGAAACACGAAGAAGTTAGGGAAAAATTTGCAAATGTATAAATTAAAATTTATAAATTGGCAAAAAAAAAATTGTGATGTAATTTCTTAGTGAGGGGTAAAATGAGTAAAATTTTTTCATTTCGTAAATGCTATGTTATGTCATTTAAGTCAACGAAATTTTTATATTTCTGAATGTTGAAAATCTATGGACATAAAGCAGATTTTTTAGTTTACTCTGACGGGAGAATACTTAAGTATAAGGTTATGAAACCACTTAAAACCCCGAGCAACGCTGGGCAAAAAAATCTATTTTTTTTATAAATTATGGAAAAAGTGTTGAAAAATAATTGAAGAGATGTGTACAATTGAGTACAATGTAAATTATTTTGGTTTTATCGAATATTTGTGTGAAGAAAGAAAGCCTAAGTTGCATGTATAAGGAACGGTTTGCCCATTTGAGCTGGACGCTGATGAGTTTTTTTGCGATATAGGCTTCTTAAAATAGCAACGCACTTTTTAATAAGTTTATTTTTCTTTAAAATGTTAAAATAACAATTTATATTTTGTTTATATCTTAGTTCTTTTATTGCATCAGCTGTGCAGAGATGCCACATATGCAGTATTTATACCAGTTTGTATGCAAAATTTCAAACATTTTACTAAGCACCCACTTAAAGCTGGCTCAACTTAAAACTATTATTAATTTCCACTGTAGTTAAGAAACAGTTAGTAACAGGTTTATATTATAGTTGTTTTTAAAAAGAACCGACTTTAGTGTTTGACTATGATTATGGGCCATTGTATTTAAAATCCTTCACATTTTGATGATCAGCTTCTATTCTACCATTTCCTACTGTGCACCGTGAGCTTAGACCGTCAAGGTAGGCGCTCACGTTAAACACGGACAAATCTTTCCCTATCTATTATCTAGTGAAAACACAGCCAAGGGAACGGGCTTGGAATAATTAGCGGGGAAAGAAGATTCTGTTGAGCTTGACTCTAATCTGTCAGTGTAAGGAGACATAAGACGTGTAGAATAAGTGGGAGATAATTATCTTTCGGGGCATTTATCAACAATGAAATACCACTACTCTTATTGTTTCCTTACTTAATTGATTAAGTGGAACGCGTATCAATTCTTAGCCATTTTACGGATATATTTATATATCTTATGGTACTAAGAATTTGTTATATAATTGTAAACAATATGTATTTTAATCGAAAATCTTTAAAATTTTTAGAATTTACAGTCGACGTTGTATAGTTGTAAGTCGTAATATTTTTATTTATTGATTTGTTTTTGTTTGCTACGACGATGATTGTGAATTTTCTTACCGGTAAAAATTGCTGGTTCATGGAATCAATAGTTGATATTGATTGGCGACTGGTTCTTTTTTCTTTGTTATAATTTCCAAATCCACTATCTAAACGATCCATCAAACCATTCGAATATTTCCGTACACTAATATTATTTGCAACCGGTTTAACATTGAGAAATATTGCATCCTGTTTCTTTTTTCTATTATAATTATTCCACATTTTTATTCGATTTTAAATTTTATATATTTCAACACTTGTGACCGTAATGAAGCAAATCTTCTTATTTTTCCAAAATATCGACACCGATACGCAATTGTTACCGCAAGTAACTATTTGTTAATGATTAAATAAATTTAACTTTGAGCTGGACACAGAAAATTTTGTATCATTAAAATTCATAAATTATAAATCATGTTGTTTAATGGTCGGAATTCATAATTTTCTTTTTATTTGTTTTTTTATTATAAATTTATGAGACGAGTTAAGAGGGATGGTTATTTTGTTTTTAAGGGCGATAAATAGAATTTCTAATTTTTTTATTGAAAAAAAAATGTAACAAAACTGCATCGATTTCACGAAAACAATGACAATTCTTTGGTGTTATTGTTTAATCGCTTATACGTAATTTCCTAAATTCTTGTACAAAGTCTATTAAAATTTGTAATTTGATTGGTCACTTCAGTAGTCTTTTTTATTGTATTTCTTATAAGTAGGTATTGCATTGCACATTGTATTTACATTTGTCTACAACTTATATTCGGCGTCATTTATTACAAAAGTTCAAAAGAATGACAACTAATATATTTATTTACTTTTACATGGACTTGGCCTTGTAGAAGTTTCATTTAAATTTAGGTTATCTAAATAAATGAATAAATACCTATTACACTTTTGGTTTTATTTTTTTATTTATAGATTTATTACAAAAATTGTAAAAATTACAAACAAATTTATATCAAACTAATTTTATCGAATTATCAAATTTAAAATTGTAGAAATTTAACTTAAATATTTTCTTATTATTCTATACTAGTTAAGTATTCCTAAAAGTATGCTGTGATATATAATTTATTTAACAGTCAGTATACTAACATTTAACAGACTGAGGAATGTAATGTTTAGCGTAATTTGTATATGTGTGAAAAATACATAGTTAGAAACCCTGTAGGAAATGTCAATATTAAAAATGTGCTGACAGTGCTAGAGTGGAATTGTGTCAACAGTGCTAGAGTGGAATTGCACCCCATACAAGGCTTAAGGTAGAATTACCCGAACGTTGCTGTCCACGTACTGTAACGTACCGTACCGTTACCTCGTTTGTGCACTTATAGTACATTTAAAAACGTAACGCTTGTCTTGGAAATAAACACAAAATAATTTAAGCTTTTAGGCGTTTTTTTAATATAAAGGTAAATTAATTAGCAATAACTTGCCTTTTTGTTATTTCTTTAAGACTATTTTATGTAGGTATTTAAAAAAATTCAAAAATTATAAAAAGCAAAAATAAATTACATAAATATTCAATCAGCTGTTCGAAACAGTGATGGTTATTGAGAGGCACTTTCTTTAAAATGGTTAAGTAGAAAAAGTACCAAAATTAAAAAATGTATATGTATAAGTAATAGCATTTAACTCATCAAGCGTTTTTTCCTGTTGTTTTTAAAATTATTTTCAACTTTTTTTAGAAAGTATTGAAAAATTTAAAGCTACCTTTACTTGCACTTGCAAAATTGAAAGTATCGAGCTATATAAATTGCATTAAATACAAATCAATGATTTTAAAAATATACATTTTTAAACTAACGTCTGTATTTAATGAGATGGAGCTCTCAAATTTACATCATTAGAAAGCCCAAATTGTTGTCTGCAAAATTTTATGTAATATCGATATATTTTTAGATAACTGAGATAACGCCTGGTTCTATAATTATAATTAGAAAGTATTTTAAACAGTTTAACTTTGATTTGTTGGAGTTTGATACGTCATTAACGTGTTTTCTATAAAATTGTATGTATACACATTGCTAACATCACATATTAAACAATTTATTAAATTTAAAATAAATAAAAAAAATAAAAAAAGTATGAAAAAAGGGAATTTGTACCACAGTTCTATTCTACATACAAAAGTGCCATCACTGTTCTACAAATGTCACGTAAAAACGTTATAAAATTCTATTTTATACAGGTTGAAACGTTACGGCTACATTTCGGTAAGCATTTTCATTGTTTTTCCTTAATCAAAAACGATCAGCTGACACGTTTTCTTACAGTTACAGTACGTTGCGCTTGGGTAATTCTACCTTTAGTGCTATAGACATTTAACATGTCTATGTCATTAAAATCATCTAGTAACATTATGAGTATTGATATTTTCAAAATCGTATGGCAAAAATGAAAATAGGTGACCACAAGTTTTAGCGCGTGAAGCTAAATGAAGCAAATGTACGTTGAATTCGACTCAAATACAACAGAGAAGTTTTCAACAAATAATTTTAAACGTTTATGAGCTTGTTCAATATTACGTTCTACGTGACGTGGACTACAAAGTAGCCTATAAGCTCAATGCAAAAGTAAAAATTCATTAAAAATATCTTCGTGCACGTAGCTATTGAGTACAACTATGCCTGAATTAGCTAAGAACTGGAGGACGTAGCTCAGTCGCTTTCCAATGATGTAAATCTTCCAACGATCTTGGTTTTCTCGGGAATTCCTTTGGAAAATATGTCACAGGCAGACAAGATGCATGTTATCAAATGAAGTTTGTGATATCATATTATAACCCAATTCTTCGAGTTGTGCTTTTTCCTATTTTAAATACATATATTGGAATGATGTTTTGGATATATCCTTAGAGCAAAATCGACATCGGAAATAAAAGTGCCAGTGAAGCTACTGTACGTGAATACATATCAACTTTTTACCTACTTGCGTGCACTTTGTACATCCATCAGCCTTTGCTGGCGCATCACATATTATACAACAAACCCTTAATATTGATATTTTTCCATTTAAAACAAACTCGTCTCTAAGAAAATGCACTTCATTAACAAAATCGTTTAATAGTCCTTGACGCATTCTGGTTTTTCATTGCCTATATAGCCCAACAGCAAAAGGCACAATTTTTTCCTTTTTCTTAGAATTAACTAAATTTACTTTATCGTCAGGAACATTAACAACTTGGGTACATATGTCTTTCATATATAAAAATACATTTATTCAGGATTTCGTAAATTAAATAGAGATTAACATAGAAGCGAAAAAAATCATAAAACTACTGCAGGATTTATATGTATAAAGATCAAAATGCCAGAGCCACTGAAAAGCACAAGCTTGAAAATATTAATACAAAATCACGTCAATTCAATTAAGAAATTAACTAATGCAAATAAGAGAAAAAACAATCATTAGACAAATTTTGCTCGCTAAGCCCCTTTTCACGATTTTTAGTGCGTGATTGAAATATTCATTATTCAGCTGAATTGGTGCTCTTAGCTACAGGAACAGGATGATGAATCTACAAATTTGGGATGATGAGTAATGAGTCAATTTAGATAAAATTTTTAGATTTAGAAACACTAAGGCCCATTATTATAACTTGCCAATAACTAAAGTTAGGAAGTTATCGTATAGATAGTGTGTTTTTCGTTATTACAAGTCAACTTTAGCTAAAAGTGTCCGATAGGCTAACGGGAAGATCACCTTACCTTTAACTTTTAATGTAAGCTTTAGGAATTTTTTTTAAATTTGAATGAAAAATAAATTCAATGTCATTTTTCATATGAAAAATATTATTAACGGCTAAAAGTATGCTACGGTTTTTGTATAATAAAAAATTATGTTGTAATAATGAAAATGTTTAAAGTTCACTTTATTCCTCACTTTAATTAAAGTTACCTTTTATTATTACGAACATTAAAGGCAAGTTGTAATAATGGCCCTAAATATGCTAATAGTTATACTTTTTCGTTCTCCAACTGGTACTTTTTGAGTTTTCTATGATATTAAAATCGAAACATAAATATAAACTTTTAGTTAGGTACATTTTCCTTCTTCACTGGTACATTTTTGAGTTTTATTTAAAATTAAATCTAGAAACATGAAACTAAGCATGTAGGGCCCGGAGTAAATAAGAACTTATAAAATGGGATTTTTGGTACTTTTTCGTTCTTCAAAAGGTACTTTTTGGATTCTCTTTGATATTGAACCTAGAAACATGAAATTAAGCATGTAGAGCCCGGATTAAATAAGAACATATAAACGGGAACTTTTTGATACTTTTTCATTCTTTAACTGGTAATTTTTGAGTTTGCTATAATATTAAACCCAGAAATTTGAAATTAATCTTGTATTTAGCTACACTCTTCGTAATTGAATAAAATAAATATTAAAATATACTTGTTTCTAGGTTCAATATATAAAATCTATGTAAGTCCCCTTTTAATAAGGACTCTATAAGTTTGATTTTATGATTCTAGTGTCAATATTACAGAAAATTAAAAAAGCAGTTGAAGTATAAAAGGTACCATACAATGACTTTTTATAGATTTTTATTTAATCAGGATAATGCATGTTTAATTTTCAACCAAAAATTCCTCTCATAACCAAAGGACCAGAAAGTCTCCTTCTTAAATTTTCGTTCAATCAGGACACTGAGTGTTTAAATTTATGTTTATATATGCAATATTTTAGAAAACTCAAAAAGTACCAGTTGGAGTACGAAAACAGACCTATTTTATTTACTTTCATATTAATAAGTTCAATATTATAGAAAATTCAAAAAGTACCAGTAAAAGAATGAAAAAGTACCAGAAAATACTCCATTTTAAATTTTTATTCAATCAAGTCCTTGGCTGCTTAGTTTTATGTATCTAGGATCATTAAAATAGAAAACTCAAAAAGTACCAGTTAAATAACGAAAAAGTACCAAATGGTTCCATTTGATATGTTCTCATTTACTCCGGGGTCTACATACTTAATTTCATGTTCCTAAGTTCAATAAAATAATAAAATAAACTCAAAAAATACCAGTTATAAAACAAAAATGTTTCAAAAAGTCCCCTTTTATAGGTTAATTTATGTTTCTAGGTACCTCTTAGTGAACGGAAAAGTACTAAAAATTCCCCTTTTCTAGATTCTTATTACATTTGGGCTTCACATGCTTAATTTCATGTTTCTGGGATCAATATTATATAAAACACAAAAAGAACCTTTTCAAGAACGAAAAAGTACCAAAAAGTCCCCTTTTATTTGTTCTCACTCAATCCGGGCTCTACTTGCTTAATTTCATGTTTCTAGATTTAATATTATAGAAAATTCAAAAAGTTCCTTTTAAAGAACGAAAAAGTACCAAAAAGTCTCCTTTTATAGGTTCTCACTTACTCCGGACTCCACAAGATTGATTTCATGTTTCTAGGATCAATATTATAAAAAACACATAAAGTACCTTTTGAAGAACGAAAAAGTACCAAAAAGTCCCCTTTTATATGTTCTCACCTACTCCAGGCTCCACATGCTTGAGTTTATGTTTCTAGGATCAATATTATAAAAAACACAAAAATACCTTTTGAAGAACGAAAAAGTACCAAAAAGTTCCCTTTTATATGTTCTTACTTCCTCCGGGCTCTACATGCTTAATTTCATGTTTCTGGGTTCAATATTATAGAAAATTAAAAAAAAAAGAAAAACTTTGAAGAACCAAAACCTCCCCTTTTATAGATTCTCACTTGATCCGGGCTCTACATGCTTAATTTCATGTTTCTAGGTTTAATATTATAGAAAATTCAAAAAGTTCCCTTTGAAGAACAAAAGTATAGATTTTCATTTACTTCGTGCCCTACTTGCTTAATTTCATGTTTCTAGGTTAAATTTCAAAAAGTACCAGTCGAAGTACGATAAAGTACCAATAAGTCCCCTTTTATAGATTCTCATTTACTCCGGACTCTACATGCTTAATTTAATGTTTCTAGCAAAGAATAAACAAGAAGTGAAACGCTGTCATTTTTTTACAACAATAACATTACGCTCTTCTCACAGACGAGTGCTGTGTAAATCCAACACATATGTAAAAATGTTATTCTCTCTCCAAACTTCAAAACTTTTTCGCGAAAATTTGAGGATAATAGCACTTTGAAATATTTTTTTATCACTTAACATTATATTTTATAATTTTTTTGCACAATTTAAACACATTTAACAGCCCGAAAATTATATATTTTTTACAAACGAGAAAAAAATATTTTTTATTTTTTGACATTGAATTTTTGTTGTTTGAAATTAAAACTAAAAAAAAACAATGTTGTAAATTTTCGTATGGTAAACGAAAAAGATATTTCAAATAAATAATTTATTTTTTCAATATTATAGATTAAAAAACAAATAGACGTGTTTATAAAATGTTTATAGATAAAATATGTGCAAAATATCTTAAGAAAAAACCTTTCAAAGTATAAATTGAAATGTAATAATTTTTTTTCAATATTTTTCAATACTATTTTTTGCAACTATGTTGACTTGAGAATTCTACTAATACATTCTTAGAGTTAGGTACCGGATGACAGTAGACTTAGGTACTTTTGACAACAGTTTCATTTCTTATTTATTCTTTGGTTTCTAGGTTTAATTTTAAAGAAAATTCAAAAAAGTACCTGTGTAGAACGAAAAAGTACCGAAAAATGCCTTTATTATTAATTTCATGTTTCATAGCAAAGAATAATAAGAAGTTGGACTATGACATTGTTTTACAACAATAACATTTCCTTCTCTTCACAGACGAGTTCTGTGTAAATTCAACACACTTGTGAGAACTTAATTCTCTCACAATACTTCAAAACTTTTTCTCGAAAATACCGGAATAATAGGACTTGAACGACGTTTTTTCACAAACACATAACTGTTTTTTAATTTTTTACACAATTTTATCGCATTTAACAATCCGAAATATTTTTATTTTTCACAAACTAAGAAAAAATTTTTTTAATTTTTTTGACAATTAATTTTTGTATGTTGATATTAAAATTGACAAAACAAAGTTGTATACATATTTTGGTATTGAAAAGGAAAAAATTATTTAAAATAAACTTATTTTTTTTGCAAAAAAAGAGATTTTAAGTCCGAAAAATATATTTATTAAATTTTTACTGATTAGATGTGGGCAAAATAAATTAAAAAATCTGCGAATGTAGAAATTTAAATGTTATTTATTTTTCATAAAATTTTTATGTACGATTTTATGCAAGTATGTATGTTTGGAAAGTGTGGTGAAAGTGGTTGGAGCTCCAATACTAATACAAAAATTCTACCAATACATACTTAGAGTTAGGTACCGAATGACAACTCCTTTACGTACCAACTGACAAGCCCCAATTTCTTTATATTCTTTGTTTCATAGAAAACTCAAAAAGTACCAGTTGGAGAATGAAAAAGTACCAAAAAATATCACTTGGTACCGGTGTTCCGTATAACACCCCATTAGCATATTTAGTGTTTCTAAATATAAAAATTGTATATAAATTATATCAGTGAGTTTGAGCAAAATCAAATTTCCCGCTTTTACCCCTTTTGGTACTTTTTTCCTTCCCATTAACGAAATAAAAATTCTATTCCAAAAAGTTGCAACATCATATTGGGAGCCCGTTATTATGTATTCATATGTATAAGTTAATAAACCAAAAACAATGTTCTATGAAAAAAGTACCAAAAATAGGTTCAATTTTCTCCCCTTAAACGTTCGAATATCCAATAAGTACTAAATTCATTTCATTCATATTTTTATTATTTCGTCAAGTTATAAAGGAGTCAAAAATATTTTTTGAATGTTCCCTGGCTTAAAAGATACATGGGGTGCAAAAAAGTACCAAAATACAGTTTTTAACCGTTTATTCCCTAAAGGGGCCGAATTTGAAAAAAGTACCAGACACCTATCCGCTTATTTTTTAAATGAACGACGATAAGAGGATTTACAGAAAGTTAAATTTTTAATTTCTTTTTTTAATTTTTTTCCATCCCTGCATAATTTTCACACAACTTTTGTGCTTGCTCTATTTTATTGTTGTAAATTATATACAAAATAGGGTTCTATAGTTGAAACAAAAAGTCGACTTTTCGACTTTTCGACTTTTTGCATTTAGTTAAAAGTCGACTTTTCGACCTTTCGACTTTTTCCATTTTATGAAAAGTCGATTTTTCGACTTTTCGACCTTTTTCATTTATTTAAAAGTCGACTTTTAGACTTTTCGACTTTTAGTACTTTATAAATGGTCGACTTTTCGACTTTTTCCGACTTTTCGACTTTTTCCGACTTTTCGACTTTTTTCGACTTTTCGACTTTTTCCGACTTTTTTCGACTTTTCGACTTTTCGACTTTTTTCGACTTTTCGACTTTTTTCGACTTTTTCCGACTTTTTTCAACTTTTCGACTTTTTCCGACTTTTCGACTTTTCGATTTTTTACGACTTTTTGACTATTTTCGACTTATTTCGACTTTTATTCGACTTATTTCGACTATTTTATACTTTTTTCGAGTTTTTCCGACTATTTTAGAGTTTTTGACCTCTTTTCCACTTTTTTAAAATTTTCGACTATTTTCGACTTTTCGACTTTTCGACTTTTTTCGACTTTTTTTCGACTTTCTTCGACTTTTTTCGACTTATCGACTTTTTTCGACTTATCGACTTTTTTCGACTTTTCGACTTTTTTCGACTTTCCGACTTTTCGACTTTTTTCGACTTTTATTTACAAAGTCGACTTTTCGACTTTTTTCATAGACGATAGTCGAGTTATCGACTTTTTTGGAACAAAATAGTCGACTTCGACTTTTCGACTTTTTTCGACAAAAAGTCGATTGTTCGATTATTCGAAAGTCGATTTATAGAACCCTAATACAAAATCCCACTTTTTTATCTCTCGGATTCCGTTTTTATATAAAAAATTTGGAAATTTGTAAATTAAGTGTATTTGATACTTAGACGGCTTACAGTCGATTTGAAGCCGCCGCCGATAATTTTAATGTCAGCCGCCGCTGCCGTTAATATTTGTCGGCGCAGGGCTCTGATTCTGATGAAAAGCGAAGGAAGATTCTGGCAAAAAGTATAATTCTGGTAAAATTTGCAAATCGTTAAGCGTACAAAACTGAAAAAGTAACATATTTAAAACAATAGCAACAAATTAATAAAGCAAAATACTCTTTATATATTTATAAATTGCAGAAAAATGGTAGACTACAGCAAATGGAAAAACATTGAGGTAAGAAAATATACAAAATGAATCTGCAATAAAGGACAGATTAAAAAGGCAATGGAAAAATTATTTTCTAGATATCTGACGATGAAGATGATACTCATCCAAACATTGACACACCTTCACTTTTCCGGTGGCGTCACCAGGCACGTGTCGAACGTATGGCCGAACTGGAACGAGAGAAAGAGGATCTAAAAAAGCAAAAGCAATCTTGGCAGGCTAGATTAATTGATTGCAAAAAGCGCATACAAAGTAAAGGTGATGATGAGGAACTGAAGAAAGAATTAGAAAAACTGGAGAAAGAGGGCAAAGATTTCGACCGTAAAGAAGAGGAGCTGATTAAGAAAGAAAAGAAAATGCCGTGGAATGTCGATACTATTAGCAAGCCTGGATTCGCAAAGACTGTGCTAAATAAACAACCGGCTCGGAAACCAGACGAGAACCTTACCGAAGAGGAAAAGGAAGCCCGCATGAAAAAGTTTGTAAATGAAAATGAAAAGTTATGCAAGCAATACGGCATGTTGCGAAAATACGATGATTCAAAGCGGTTTCTCCAGGAGCACCTTGATTTGGTTTGCGAGGAGACTGCCAACTACTTGGTGATATGGTCCATTAATTTGGAGATGGAAGAAAAACATGAGCTCATGGCTCATGTGGCCCATCAGTGTATTTGCATGCAGTATATTTTAGAGTTGGCCAAACAGTTAGACATTGATCCACGGGCCTGTGTAGGGTCCTTCTTTTCAAAAATTCAAAACTGTGTACCCGAATATCGCCAGCAGTTTGAAAGTGAAATTGATGGGTTCAAAGAACGCATTAAGAAGAGGGCTCAAGAGAAGATTAAAGAAGCTATCGCAGAAGCGGAAGAAGAAGAGCGTAGGGAACGTCTCGGTCCCGGTGGTCTAGATCCTGCCGAAGTTTTCGAATCACTACCCGATGTAAGTAAGAATAATTCAATATGTTTGCACTTGGTTATCATTTTCTATATTTTAATTCTTAGGAATTAAAAAAATGTTTCGAAAGTCGAGATACTGAACTATTGCAAACTACTATTGCCGCGATGCCAGTAGAAGAGGCAAAATACCACATGAAACGATGTGTAGATTCAGGTTTATGGGTTCCAAATGCTGCCGATTTAAAAGAAGAAGAAACAGAAGAAGCGACACCGAAATCCAAGGAAACAGAACCGATATATACTGGAGTTAGTTCAGACGATTTAGATTGATTGTTATGATCACACATAGAGAGGCCTTATTTGAGCGGGAAAAATCGAAAATCGGTACATTTGCAGCAGTAATAAAGCAGTCCATAAAATAATTATCATTCTGGCAGAAATATATTCAAACCCAACACCACTCCACACTTCTATCGAAAAATGTTTATTATATATTTCTCTTCCCAGACTTAATAGTAATTTGTTTTCATTTCGAATTTAATTATGGACATTTAGTCATTTTAAGTATTCCTTTTTTGAATATATTATAGTATGTGTAATTCAAATATTAAATCGTTGTGTATGTAAATAAATTGTAAGGAAAAAATTTAACAAAAAACCAATTAGAGTGTTGAATATAAAAAGCTAAATTAATAATCAGAATCTGAAAATATATTTAATATAATTTTAACCCTCTTTGCTGTTTTTGAGTACTATTCTAAACTTTGCCGTATTGCTATACAAAACAACTGAAAATGTCACTGTAATATTAAAGAAGAGTGTAATATGAAAATAAAGTAAAAAATAGAGGTAAAGGAGATTTTATTCTAATCAGGCATTTTAATGTTCAAAATATATTTATGTTTACAAATAACTTGTTACACCGACATTGTCCAAGTTTTATCTACCTCCATTGGGCGCTGGAGCTTGTAGGGTAATGATTACATGGTACAATTATTTGTAATTGAAATTTAGTCAATTACAATTACTTGTAATTTAGTTAATACTATTATATGTAATTGTAATGTAAGAAAATTACAAGTAATTATAAATTTTTCAATTACAAATAATTATAATTGGCAAAACATCAATTATAAATAAAGCTTCAGTTACAATTATTTCGATTGTACTTGTCGCGTACTCAAAAACAACTTCCGAAGATTAATTTTAATTTAATTGCTAATAGTTCACCTGAAAATTGGCTCTTAGAAAAGATTTTTCAATAAAAATATAATTTAAAAAGGCATTTTAATTTTTTAAGAGTCTTATACATCTCTTTCCTCACTTTTTACTGGGTTTTCATTTGTAAGGAAATAATAATTGGAAAATATGTAATCGAAGTTTTAGATGTGATTAAGATGTCGTTTTTAAAGTATGACATCAAGTATTTTTAGCTGGGAAGTATTAGAAAAACATTTACATACATTAATCTTGAACCAAAGAACGGAGATTGTATTGCCATATCGCAGATAAAAAGTATGGGAAAATTGGTAATCAATTTTACATTATAATAATATATAATTTCATTAAAGGGATTCACAATGGGGCAGAAATGATTTTTTTAAATAGATCTGGCATTTTTAACTGGCTGGTTTGATCGATTTAAATTTTAAAAATATGCCCCACAAATTGTTCAGTTACTGGGGCTCAAAATGTGACATTTTCGACAAGTAAATTTTTTGCGGTACCGTTATCCGACGCCACACACTAAACCAATGCGGTAGTGAAACGTAAAACACTCAAGGCAAGGCAAAAAGACGGCATGATTACCCTTAAGCGATAATGGAAACGACGCACGACGATTTTTCTCCACCCATGGCTGAATTACGAATGTATCAAATGTTATTTTTAGATGTTTTCATATAAGTCAATTCATAATACTTACCTACGTAGTAATTTAGTGGTATTTAAGTCGTTTTCGATAATTGCAATATTAACAAAATGGGCATATTTTCGAAAACATTATTTGAAACCGTTTAAAAATATTTTGGATATTTCTACAAAATTCCTAAAAAAATATAGCTTTTTAAATCAATTAAGACCGATTTTATACCAAAATTAATTAAGTGAATAAACTAAATGAATAAACGTTTAAAACCAACTAAATTTTAAATGTTCATCCAATCAGAAAGCACAACATTTTGCTGACAAGACATATCCTCCGTGGATGTCACCGTAGAAATCATCCTAAATTTAACATTACACAGTTGGATGCTCCTCAGAGGCATATCAGGAAGGACCCTAGTGTATACACACATAAATATGTGAAGGATCCGTTCGTATACAACAGCTTTGAACGACATTCGTAGAGACCAGAAGAAAATTTTAATGTCCAAACCAAAAGAATGTCCAACTTGTAGACAGATACCCACCAAATACTCAAATGTGTAATCAACTTTACTTCAGTTTGTCGGATAGATTTATGGAAGAACGCTGTGGAAGTTGCACAATTTTTAAGCCTGGATTAGATAGTTGTATAGTCGTATAGCATTTTAAAATGATTTTAAACGAGTTGTTAACTGTTATCTTACTAATAACTTTTGTGTGTGTAAATTCTCATAAGGGAAAGATAACAGCTCCGGAGATTGGGCTGGGAATTTCAAACGTATCAAAGCAGTTTTACCCGTCCATGAAGATGTGGAGTCAAATCCCAAAAAGTCTACAAACATTCCACTTAGAGTAAATAGTTAAGAGGTCTGTCGTAGATAACTGTTAAAAACATTGTTTTATTTAAATTTTTTATATGTATTTGTTTTACTAAATTTATAATTTGTTAAAGGTTTACATATACAATAATTAGCAGAGAACATATTAATATTATTAATAATTATAGTAATTATTATATTTATAAAAAAAAACATAATGCATAATTGCATTTGCAGTTCTAGCCTACAGGACACAAAACATTGTAAATTTAAGCTAAAAATTAAATTCATATTACGAATATTTTGATCATCAATTGATGTTTGTGACTTTCAAACAACATACATACAACAAAACATTATTTATCATTTACTCCATAGTTCTTCGATTTTTTGGTACTTTTTTTCTATTCTTGTTGTTTGCTATAAATTAGCGCAAATAATAAAAAAGAAAAATATTAGATGAATTAATATTTGTTTTTGTTTTGTGTCTCACTGATATCGAATGTATTTGATTTGACTATTCTAAAATAATAAATAATAAAGAGGCAAAAAAAGTTTTATTTCATGCACAAACTGGCGGCAAAAAGTCAAATATCTTGTTCTTTTTTTGGCAGAGGAATCTTTACAAATGAAAATAATTTTTAGGAAGGAGGTGTATTATGTAATTAAATGCAAAAAAATAAATAATCAATAATTCTAAGTTATACTAAATAATAAAAAATATAATAGTGCATTTTTACCTTTAACAATAATTTACTGATTTTAAATCTTTTCGTTTTTTATGATTTATTTAAATACTTTATAATGCTGATCTTTAATCCGGATATAAAATTGTTAATCAATTTTATTTAAATAAATTATTGGGATAATTTTGAATTCTTCTAATATGCATATAAATTACATAGTAGACCTCCTAATATTTATGCTAACCGCAGGCATTTAGAATAAAATTAAATCTATTTTAATTCGAATATTATGGATTTGGGACATTTGAAAAAACAAATATTCACTAGCGTTAAACAAAAATTTAATAACTCAAATCTAATTTTAGTTCTTCACACATCCTGTTTGGAATGGTTTCAATTTTGTCGCTATTACTTTGATCGATCATTCGTTTCTTCAGATTCTGTTTATTTCAAAAGTCAAAGCTGTGTATCATTTACAAAATTTCTCTAAAAGTTTTACGACAGGGGAATACAATTTTGAAGTCTGAGAGCTGTTTTGAATTCATCCTACCTTCTTTTGGATTCACAAAAATAAAATAAGCATCTTTGTTATAAATTTGATTGTAGTAAGGCAAAAGCAAAGCCCAATGAAATAATGTTAAGCCAATTTATTTAATTCAACACATACAAATCTAACATAATAATAGTCAGGAAACTTGTTTTGAAAACTAAATTTCAATCGCGTTTAGGTATTCGCTTCTTTAAATATCGTTTTGTTTATTTTTATTCACCAATTGTCATCACAAGTCTTGAAGTTTTTTTAACGGTAAACTAGTCAAAATTGTGTGTTTGTGTTTTTTTTCTTTCGAAAGGATTTCTATTTTATTTTAATGATAAATATTAGTTATTGTTTTTGTTATATTATAAATATTATTATTAAATTTAGTTTGTTATTATTTACCATTAAAAATATGTATGTATTTATATAACTTAAGATTAAACAAAACAAAAAATAAGAAAATAAAAGTGTAATAATAATAAAAAAATATTAAAATAATAAAAAATTATTGGTAATTAATTACAAATGTTTGAGTTTCTATTAGTTTCAAGTTATCTTATTATAATTGTTTAAATTTAATTGTTGTTGTAACCACATGGATACGTTTCGAGTAGATCGGCGTCGAATTTTAAAGCAAAAATGGGAGGAAAAGGGAACAAGTTTTTTAAACATAAATGACGTTAAAACTTAAAGTAAAATTATATCGTTTATATGTAGTTGTGATGGTAAAAAGAGGATTAAATAAAAAAGTTAATTAAATAAAATAAGGACAATTAGGAAATCAACGAAAATGCATTTAATCATCAATAGTCGTAAATAATCTTCTGGTGGTGACTGAACATGGGTCAGTGATATTTGTAAACTTGCTTATGCATCTGTATGTATATTATGTATCAGTTGTGAATTTAACGTTTATAAGGCTGAAGCAAATATCATTGACTTTTGTTCGTTGAAGGTGGAGATGGTTTAAAACCAAAAAACTTTCATTTATTTTTTAATACGTTAAGGCTAACAAGAGCGCGCTCGCACTAATGAGGTAAAACTAATTGGGAGTGTAAACACAAGGTGATTCAGTTTAAAGAATATCGGAATACTTGAATGGCATGATAGGTATTTTGTTTTGTTTTGTCAAGTTTATCTAAACCGTGATTTGCAAGCGTAACAATAGACAGACATACGACAATACGCACACATTTCGTTCATTCAACCAAATGCTAGACTTAAAGAATATTCTCAATCGCAATCTACCACCCAGAGAAACGGACTACAACTTAATATTTAACATCGCTAAATTCCATCTGCTGATGTTTCTTAACGGCCAGCGGCAATCATGAAGATGATGCTGAAGAATTTTTTGTTGAACTTCCTCCTCCGCTAGACACTCCACGTTGCTTCTCAATGTATACATTCAGAAGGCGAACTTTGCTGGGATTTAGCATAGTCAGCTTTGGCTTGACCTTCTCCTCGCCCATAACAATGTACAGTTTGACAATACAAAAGACTGCTGCTTTTCGCACCATAGACTGATAGTCGTCTGTGAGTCGTGCCAAATGGGGAAAGACTATATCGAGCTGTGACTCGGTCAACTCCGATCCGTGGCGGTCGGCCAATTCAGTTAGCAATTTCAAGGCACACAGGTTCACTGGATACGAGCCCGTTGCAATCACAGGATTCACTATGTTAATAGTCAAGTTTAGAGGCAGAGCTGGTACAATTCGAGGTATTAGCATGTCTAGTTCGCGCATTGTTTCCTT